GTCAAAATTATTAGGCCCTTAAGTCTTCAGAACAAACCATTGTTAAAATAACTTGCCTAATTACCTTAACTTGACTAGTTAACCTAATTAACCTATATTAAGCCTTTAAATGTCACTTTAAGCTGTATAGAAGTGTCTTGAAAAATATACTGTCATCATGGCAAAGATAATATATATATATATATATATATATATATATATATATATATATATATATATATATATATATATATATATATATATATATATATGTGTGTGTGTGTGTGTGTGATGTATGTAAAATTTGGCCCGGGACAACGATTTTTTTTTTTTGCATCTGGCCTTCGGCCCAAAAAGTTTGGACACCCCTGATTTAGCAGATGCTTCTTTATCAGATGTATTTCTGAAAATGCAGCCATTAAATATATTGTACACAGCAAAGGTCTGAAATAAATGTTGGTTTTATTAAGCGCAGTGTGCATATACCTTTCTTTGGTAATGAGCTTTACTCTGAAGGTGTGCTCCCCTTTATTTTCTTGACTTCTGCTCTTCTCTCTCTGCAGTCTGCCGCTCAGGTTCTGGGTGAACGTGATCAAGAATCCTCAGTTTGTGTTCGACATTCATAAGAACAGCATTACCGACGCGTGTCTGTCCGTGGTGGCGCAGACCTTCATGGACTCCTGCTCCACATCTGAACACAAGCTGGGCAAAGATTCGCCCTCCAACAAGCTGCTCTACGCTAAAGACATTCCCAACTACAAGAACTGGGTGGAGAGGTACCACAGCGACAACTACATCTCATTCCAGTGTCTATACTCAAATAAAACCACACATGAAGATATGAGTTACTTCTTAAATGCATTTCATTTTTTGTTTGCAACTGTATTCATGATAACACTTTAGCTTAATTCACAACGTTTACTACTGGCCTATTAGCTCTTATAAAGTATGGTCTTATTTTACATCCCTAATCCCAACACCTAAACCTAACTGCAACCTCTATAACTATTAATAAGCAGCTAATTAGTAGTTTATTGAGCTAAAAGTCTTGGTTAATAGCGTGAGTTGTACTTTAAAATAGTGTGACCTAATTTATTACATTTTTGGTAACACTTCAAAGGGCCATGAAACCCCCTCGTTTCAGCAGGGTGTTTTCACACCTCTACTTTGGAAAAAGTCAGAAAAGTGGGCGTGTCCAGCTCTGTTTAGGGGGGAGTGTCGGAAGAAGAAAAGAGGCTTGGTGTGGGAGTGTCTATTTGGGCGCGCGCTGAGTTTCAGAGTCAAAACACACACACGCACACACACAGGGGAGAAAGTGACTGTGTTTACATGGACATCTGTTGTCGAATTATTTGCCAAATTATTAAATGTTGGACTTTAACTGCAGTTTGGCTCTTTCATTCAGGGAATTCATTCATGCCCCTCGCGACAAACGAGATATTTGATTCGAGGAACTGCTCTAAGCGTGTATTTTTTATGCAGTGTTTGATACCGCACGGCGAATGAGAGAAAAAAAAAAACCCTCAGCATTTCCCGGAAACTTAGATGCACACGGCAGGTAGCGTCAGAAAGTCGCGTGTGTTATTCCGGTCACAAAATGCGGTGAAAATCCTACACGAGGTTAAAGTTTGGTTGTGGTGCTAACATGTTTACACTCGGTGCAATAATTAGTTCGATATGAACAAACTGAATAAACAAAGAGCACTGCTCACTCACTTACCAAATCTGTAGAGACAGGACAATCACCAGCAGCTAGAGCCGCGTCTTTATTAAGAGGAGACGACAAGCGAATCCGGATCTCAGCGTTTGCAGATGAGAACAGCTCTCAGGTAAACAATAATCCTCCTTAGACACGTAAGTTATTGTTGTCGAGCGTCGCGTACACTGTTAATCCACACGTGACTCCAGCTGAGCTCACACAGAGAGAAAATGAAAACGAAACTTCACTGCAGCAAACTATAAAAGCAACACTTCACGCTTGTTTTGCCAACACAACGTGGCGTCTCTGCCGTCTACACTCTGACAGTAATGAATATTAATGAAGCTGCACAATAGAGCGCGCTGATTGGTTTGAACCAAGCTTTACTCATGCATTAATGCAGCACACTGTAAGACGTAATAAGACACACTCTGGCACAGACGTCCAGTCTGCACGCTGGAATACACGCTATTATGTCATGACCGTGACGCAGCTTCAAAAATTCGTTTCAAACCGGAAGTACGAATTTGCTTAAAATAACGCAAAAACAACCAATTTACACTTTTTAGTGAAATATAGGTGTCCTAATAGTGTTTTTAGCATTGTGAGACACATATACGACTGTCAACAGCTCAAACACGTGTTTTGGTGTTTCATGACCCTTTAATATAAGGTTAGCACCTACTATAGTAATTACAATGTATTATGCTTAATAACGAACTGTAGACCTAACCCCAACCATATAGTACATTTTAGTATCAAAAACAGCATTAAAACTGATTATTTTACATGATGAAAATCTGCAAACCAGTGCGTTTAGAAATTGTTTGATGCTATATAAAATGCACTGAAGGTTAGAGCATGGGACTTTTATTTTGGAAGCAGATGTCAGGATGTTCTGGTTGTGTTTGATCTGCTGATAACTGCACTAAACTGTTGATTGATCCGTGTGTGTGTGTGTGTGTGTGTGTGTGTGTGTGTGTGTGTGTGTGTGTTGTGCAGGTATTACTCCGATATCTCGCGGATGTCTGCGATCAGTGATCAGGATATGAGCGCGTATCTGGCTGAACAGTCGCGTCTGCATCTGAATCAGTTCAACAGCATGAGCGCGCTGCACGAAATCTTCTCCTACATCACCAAATACAAGGACGAGGTCAGTACAGTAATTTGTGTGCGAGGCAAACCTTCCCCAAAAACTGTCCTCTGCATTCACAAATTCCTCTTAGAACTCCTTTTAGACTTTTATAGACAAACTTTTATACAATACAATATTTATTTATAAAGCACATTTAAAAACAACCAAAGTGTTGTACATAGGAGTACTAAAGACATAAGAAAACAGAATATAAAAGAACAAATTAAAGCAAAACAAAAACAAAAACAGTGTATACGTGTTAAAAGCGAGAGGAAATAGATAGGTCTTTAAAACTGACTTAAATACAGAAATAGACGGGGAAAGTCTACGTGAATTGGTAGAGTGTTCCAGGGTTTAGCAACTGCAAAATGCTTGATCATCCCGTTTTTTTTTAAAGCTTATTTTAGGTACAGTGAGTAATTTAAGATCACAAGATCTCAATGATGGAGGGAGGTATTAGAATCAGTTCTATATTTACTGTAGAGATCATGTGTAAACATAAAAATGCCAGACATTTCATTGTAACATTACCAGTAAATTCAACCCGGGCTCATTGTGGAAACGTAGCCCCGCGGACGTTTCTGCGGACCGCGATTTACGTCCCGAGAGGTACGTATTCGAGCGGTTTTTGTTTTCGCGGATCCGCGAGAGGCCGCTGTGTGCGCTTTTTCGTGTCTCGGGCGCCTCTCGGGAGCGCGCGCCGTTCGCGCCCGCGCCGTTCTTGCGCGAAAAGCCGCCGGATTGGCCGACTCGGCCGCCCTCCTCCTCCTCCTCCTCCTCCTTCCCTAAATCCGAGCGACGCTTCGCAAAAGCCGTCCAGAAAAAAAAAAAAAAGCCCTCGTCTTCGATTTCGACCGCGTTTTCGGATCCCGCCGCGTTCTCGCCCTTATTTTTCGGATTCCGTTTTTAATCTTACCTGATTTCCGGAACCTGCTGTTCCCCGGACTGGATCCCGGTCGTCGTCCACCGCGGCCGGCTACTCCTCCTCCGGGGCCTCCCGGCTCCCGGCGCCGACGCAACGCTGTGAGCTAAGCGGACAAACTGATTGCATCGGGAAAGCCCTCCACTCGGAGGCGAGCCGTCGGCCGGCGAGAGCGAAGAGGAGGGGCGGAGTGTTCGCTCGAAAAAAACTAAATGCGGCCTTACGTACCTCCGGCCACGTAAATCGCGGTCTCCAGAAACGTCCGCGGGGCTACGTTTCCAGAATGAGCTTGGGTTGAGTAAATTGCTGGAATTTTGAGCAATGCATTGCTGGTCCTCACTAGGTAGCTATATATATATATATGGAGAGCTTTTAAACTAATGATATTGTAAGAAAGATTATTCAAATATATTGGTAAAATAGAGGCAATTAATAAAATGTTAAAAGTGGTAAAAGTTTGAGATGAATTGTTGGTTATTGGACGTGTGTCTGCTCAATTTTGGTTACTTTGCAAGGCAAGGGAAGATTATTTATATTGCACATTTCATACACAATGGTATTTCGCAGTTCCTTACTTAAACATAAAATAAAATCAACAAAAATAAAAATTATTAAAAACATTCAAATGAGGTTGCCATTTTCTTACCCTTGGAAAAACTGACTTATGACTTGCGTCAGAAATCTGATGATTTCTGGCATGTCTGGAATACTCTATTGGAGTTTTTGGAGAATGTATCTCGATTTTTATTAAATTTTTATTTTAATTATTTTTTTTATTTTATTTTATTAATTTTACCCTTTACAAAAGACTTGAATTATTAGCCGATGGACAATTGTATAATAGATTGCTATATTATTGTATATGATGACATGAGACACCTATACCACTGTTCTGTCATTGTAAATCTTTAAATAAAAAAAAATAAAAAATCTGAAACAAACAAACAAAAAAAACATTAAAATGTATTAAAACAAGGATAAAGGAAAATTAAGACCTGCTTAAAATGATTAAATCAAACTTTAGTACAGACTCAAAATCCAATTCAAAAACAAAAGGGAAAAAAAGAATAAGAAACATCTTCCATAACCTACGAAAAACAGAACAACAAGACAAACAACACAACATTTCTTTAGTCTTTAATTTCCCCACTGTGTTGTGTTTTGTGTAGATCTTGTCTGCGCTGGAGAGAGACGAACAGTCCCGCCGGCAGAGACTGAGGGCTAAACTGGAGCAGGTGATCGACACCATGGCTTTACCCAGCTGATCTCAATGTGTGTGTGAGTGTGTGTGTGTGCGCGCTTTTACACGGACAAAACCACAACGCTGAATGTTGAATTTTGCATTGTTTTTGGATGACTTGTTGTTGAGTGCGGTGGACGTTTTCATACAACGCGGACAAAAAGACGCTCTTTGCTGTTTTAAAGATACACTGAGGATGCTTTGGACCTCTTATGAAGTCATGTGACCGAGCCAATGAACGCGGCAGCGGATTAAAAGGACACTCGAATCGTGTTTACTATGTTTTATGATTTTGTACAAATGTAATCCGCTCTCTCTGCCACTTGTGTTTCTGCCGAATTTTGCACAGAATCAACGAGCAACTGCCTCCATCTCATGAACACACGTCTCCGGTCGGACAACGTAAGCTTTTATCCTGTACGTACAGTAGTGTTGACGAAGGTGAATTTACACAAAATGACAAAAAGAAGGAAAAAAAATGATAAAAATGCGAATAAAAATATTGTCCTGTGCCATGTTTTATTTGAATGTCGTTTAATGCAAGGTTTGTGAAGTAGGAATGTTATGTGATTAAAAAAAAACTTGATGACAGGAGAATTAAGTTAAATTTAGACTGATCTGTTCATCTAAAGCACAGGTGTCAAACTCAATTTCTGGAGGACCGCAGCTCTGCACAGTTTTGCTCCAACCCTAATCAAACACACCTGATACAAATAATCAAGACTATAGAGACTATTACTGTTCGGCAGGTGTGAGTTGGAGCTAAACGGTGCAGAGCTGTGGCCCTCCAGGAACTGAGTTTGAGACCACTGATCTAAAGCAAAGCTGGTAACACTTTACCATACGGTTGTGTTAGTTACTATCAGTTAATACATTTACTAACATAAACAAGCAATGAACAACATCTTTATTACAGCATTTGTTTTATGTTAGTCATTATAAAGTGTTTTGTTATTATAAAGTCATTACAGAGTGTTTTGTTAGTCATTATTTTGTCAAAATAAAGTCGTTCATGTTGACTCACGATGTATTAACCAATGATAACAACATGAATTTGGATTTTAATTATTCTTTAGTACAGTGTTTCTCGACCACGTTCCTGGAGGAGCACCAGCACTGCATGTTTTGGATGTCTCCTTTGTCTGTCACACTCATTACAGCTCTTTCTGGCTTTGCTAATGAGCTGATGATCTGATTCAGGGCTGGTACGCCTCTAGGAACGTGGTTGAGAAACGCTGCATTAATAAATGCACAATTATTATTAATAAATGGTGTTGATGTATTGTTCTTAATTAGTTGATGTTAGTAAATACATTAAATCTTATTGTAAAGTTTGACTGCAAGACTTTATTAGTAACTCTTTACAATAGGGGATAATTAGTTAATGTATTTACTAACATGAACAATACAAATTACAGAATTCTCCAATAATAGTTAAGCATTTGTTACATTAAAATAAAATAAATTTTTGCAAACAAAAAATAAAGTGTTGAGCAAAAAATGCTAATAATATTTTCAAGAATTTTAAAATAAAAATTACATTTGCAAACAAAAAAGAACTGCAAATGAAAATCCAGCAGTGCAAAAAAAAAAAAAAAAAAATGTAATATTTGCAAGTAAAAAACAATTTTTTAATAGCATTGCCTTTTCGGGGTTATGGATCCGGCATGTTACCCATGCATGGAGAGGTGCTGCGCACGAAAGTGGAGAGCTGGGGGAGGGGGTTGGGGTGGGGGGACTGGTGTGGTGGATGGCGGAGGGGTGTCGTGAACGATAGTGAGCGGGAGCGGGGGTGTTGCGGATAAAAGTGAAGAGTTGGTGGAGTCGCGGAAAAAAGTGAAAGTGAACAGCGGACGGGACAGGAGGGCGGTTGATCAGGGGGATCTGTAAAATGAAGTGCCGGATCCGCCTTGTTCCGGCACAAATTAAGCCCTGCAGTTGAGTTTGCGATGCTGTTTTCACTTTGCTCTTCACGTTTCTGCGCGTTTCACTTTGTGGCCCTGATTTGACGAGGGGGCGGAGTCAAGGGGACCTGGGCAATTACAGCAGGCCCAGACCTGCCCCCATTTAAACTACGTCATCACCTGGAAACACAGCATCACTGAGGTGGTCTTACAGCCCTGTAAGTCCGGAAATTGCTGGATGGGTTTTGTAAAGGCAATGCTATAAAGAAAAGCAGCATATATATATATATATATATATATATATATATATATATATATATATATATATGTATATGTATATGTATATATATATATATATATATATATATATATATATATATATGTATATGTATATGTATATATATATATATGTATATGTATATGTATATATATATATGTATATGTATATGTATATATATATATATATGTATATGTATATATATATGTATATGTATATATATATATATATATATATATATGTATATGTATATATATATATATATGTATATGTATATATATATATATATATTTTTTTTTTTTTTTTTTTTATTGCAAATACTTGCTTTAATTGCTTGATTTTTATTTGCAGTTTTTTTTTTGTTGTCTCAAAACTTTTCCTTTTGCAGTTCTTTATTTTTATTAGCAAAATGTATTTGTATTTCTCAATTTGTTTTCAAATTGCGATGTTTGGAGATTTGCATTTATTTATTTATTTTTTGCTCGATACTTTATTTTTAGTTTGAAAAACCTTTTGCAAGTATATGTGGCCCTGGATTGACTCCATACTAAAGCATTTCTTTATGCACTGAGTCATGAACTAACAACAGTATTTTCATTAACTAATGTTCATAATTTTAATAAATACTGTAATCGATGCGTTGTTTATGTTAGTAAATACATTAGCCATGACAGTTTAGCATAGGGAGCAATTCTCACCATCAAATAGTGGCTTATTATCTGGCTTTTATTAAGATAGTGGCTGTTTATTAATATTTATAAAGTACATGTACTGCATGAACTTAATTTACATCCCATCTACTACTTTAATAACTATAAATAAGCAGCAAATTGAAAGTTTAATGAGCTGAAAGTCATAGCTAATGGTTAGTAGATAGCGAGAATTAACCCTGAAATAAAGTGTGAGCACATTAACTGTGTCCTACATGTCCTGTATTTTAGATAATATATTTTGCTCATCTTAAAAATGCTGCTTGATTTAAGAATGTTTGATATTTGGACTAGAAACTACAGAAATTTAAGTTAAAAAACATTCTATCCCCGACCATATAGTCAGTAATTAATATTAATCGGTAGATAAATAAATAGTTACGCTAGTGTGACTGTGTCAAGCATCAAATTAAGAGTTCAGTGAGCTCAAAGTCACAGATAATTGTTAGTTGATTGTGAGAATTAACTTCAAAATCAAGTGTGACCACATTAACTACATGATCCGTATTGTAAAGTGTTACATCTTTACTTACTTTTCAGGATAGACTCTTTGATTTTATATCAAAAAAAGCCTCTCTTTTCTATCATACACGTGAGCTCAGATCATAAACACTCCAGCAGGTTCATCTTCCGGAAAAATCACTACGCTTACAGAGACGGAGCTGAAGTAAATGAGCGGGAGTGAATTGTTCGGGGTGCATGAGTCAGTGTTTTTTACTTGGTGTGTCGATATGGAGGGAGGAAACGCTCGTTCATCAGTTCTGCGTGATCAGAAAAGAGAAACGGGGTTTGTCTTTAATGAGCAGAACTGATTGATTAAGACAGATCAATCACTCTGCTTTCATTGAACACTTTAAGAGAGCCGTTTCCACAGTCTCCTCTTGAAGCTCTCGAGTGAATATTTCAGTGTTTGGCGCTTTATAAAGTGGCAATGATTGAAGTATTCTAGTGCTTCACTTTTTAGCCAAGTGTTTGCGTTCTTAAAGAGTACGTTCTCAAACTTTTGGTCCAGTTTCTCATATCAGATTCAACCTAAAGACTAGGACTGGGTGATTCAATTAATCAGTAACACTTTGCAATAAGGTTATATTAGTTGATGTTCATCTATTAACCTGAACTAACAATGAACAATACATTTAATACAGTATTTGCTCATGTTAGTTAATGAAAATACAGTCATTGTTAGTTTATGTAAACTCACAGTGCATTAATTAATATTAACAAGCATTCATTTGAATTTTATTAATGCATGTTAATAATAATAATGTTAATAATAATAATGTTGAACTATTGTAAATGCTGTATTGTTCATAATTAGTTCATGTTAGTAAATGCATTAAATAATTAAAAATTAAGTGAAGTGTTAACAATTAATCATTAAAATGAAAAGTCAAACACAACATGCGCATCTTGTTAGGGAAGCACAGTTGTGTGGTCAGTAGTAAATCTCCTCCAGGGGGCGCTCTTGTGCAAAAACTGTAAACACCAATGATGAAGAAACCTAAAAATCCCTTTCATCATCCAAGAAATGTGTTTCTTTGTAGTTTTTGATCTTGTTTCTAGTCCAAAAATTTACAAATTCTTAAGTAAGGATGCTTTTTCGAGATGAGCTAAACATATCATCTTGTTTTAAGAAATAATAGCTCAGAATGAAGTGAGTTTTCACTAAAGCAAGCTAAATAATCTGCCAGTGGGGTAAGCAAAATAGTCAAATGTCAAAATTATTTAGCTTACCCCTAAACACTAAAGAACGTTGTGTTATTTATTTAACCCGATGGTTGAGTTAAACATATTTGGTGCTTTTTTGGGTTATTTTTAACCTTTATTATGTTATTTATTAATAAATTATCTGGTTAAGTTAAATATTTGGTGCTTTGTTGGGTTATTTATTGCAACTCAACTAGTTAAGTTAAAATTTTAAATTTAATCAGTCAACTGATTTATCTGACACAGAACAGCTGCATTAATATGTGTGCCTAATGTTGTTTTTGCGTTAATAAGTTAAGCTCTAGCGCAATAATGTTGTTTTTTTTATTGAATGACCTGTCCGTGTCGTGTTTTTTTTTATATCCGTTTCACCAGCACTCTTAATTATTGATGATACAAACACATGCTTCATAGCCAATATACAATT